TCGGATGTTGTGAAATCCCAAAACAAGCAGTGTATTTTTTGAGGAATTTGTCGTATGTAACGGCATCTTAGCGCTGCTTGTATACGGAAGAAGCAGGAGAAAACGAGCGAAAGACCGAGAGAAAGAGACAGTCAGTATGCCCTTTTTTGCTACCACGTTTGCCGCACTCTCGAGAGAAATGGAAGGAAGCAGGATGAGAGGAGGCGGGAACCTAAAAAACACGGAGCTTACCGTGTGCGTGAGCGCTTAACATTGGATACGTATATGTATGCACCTATGTAACGACCGCGTACTCTGATGGAAAAAGAAATAGAGATAATACACGTTTATGGAGCACGAAAGTGAATATATACACACATGTGTCATATAATAGATCAGGGTCATTCCCGTTGACGACACTTTATCCTCGTTTTACGCGTTTTCGAGAAATGTTACAACGTAGAAAAGTAAAAAAGTAAAAAAAAAAAAAAAAACACAAAAAAGAGGGGGGTGAAGCATGTACGAACATAACATTTGGAGCACAGAGCACAGATGCTGATGGAGGTTAGGATCACCACCAGCAGAGAGGGGTGTTATGTATGATGATGAGGTTTGGAGTCGTGTAGTCGACGATAGGTACAACTATCTAATAAACTGTGGTTAAGTGCTGTAGCAAACTATAAAATGTTTCTCTGCTGTCTCTTCCGTGCACTGTACGGCTCCAATGATCGTAATTAATATCGCGCGTGCGAATAAACACGCGTTAAAATACTCGAGAGAAAGCCGATGAGGGAGGGGGAAAAAAAAGTAAGCGGGGGAGGTAGGTAAGGGGCGCAGCAGCGGTGAGTTTTTCCTTATTCTGCGCCTCTCTTCTTCACAACATGCATGTATATAATATACACCACGATATTTGCGTATATAGCACCTCACGCAGTGGCGGCTCGCTCGAAAACAAGTCGCCTCCTCTCTCGTTCTTTCTCTCGCACTCGATTTCGTGGAACTGGGCGAGAAGAAGAAAGAGAGTCAGGAGGTGCCCCGAACGAGAAAGAAGATGAGATGTGAGGAGAAACAAAAAAGAAGGGCACGAGAGAGGAAAACACAACACACCAAGTTATAGATTATATACAAGACACACGACGACGACGAAGAGAACGACGAAGAGGAAAAGAAAAAAAAGTGGCGTCGTTGACTATATTCGCGGGCGGTGCTGCCGAAGAGAGAAAGAGAGAGAGAGAGAGAGAGAGCGACGCACTTTGCTTCTTCCTCTCTCTCTCTCTCGCGTTCGAGACGAGGTCGTTGTGTTGTTGTTATTGTCTTATATGTCTGTCGGAGTGGTGGGGTATAAAGAGTATACATATGTTTTAATCGGAGGGGAAATGTCTGCTGCTTGATATCAGAAAGATAGAGCGAGAGAGAAATAATGAATAAAACATATAATATAAATAAATATATAAAGTGCACATTTTTCACATGCTGGCACACATAAAACACGTATAGAAAGGTATAAGTACTAAAATGGTATACACACTTGTCACAATGCTGCTATCCACAGTACTTGTTGTTGATTCCTTTTGATTCTTTGGCGGCACTGCAGCTCCTTTTTTTTTTTCTCTTGATGGTCGTGTATCAAGTTATAAGTGTGTGTGTATAAGAAGCCGACCGAGTTCTTCGATCGGTGTTGTTCTACCTTGGCGCGATAATCTCAATCTTAATGTATTCGCAGCCACAAAAATACATCCGCAGACGACGTCGACGAGGCCAAAGAGGAAAAGAGCATACCGTCGGCCGGGCTGGGAAGAAACAGCACGTAAACGGCAAAAACAGCGAGTAGGCAGAGATTTTTCGCGCGGACAATCATTTGCGGGCAAATGAACGCGCGTGCTCCGCTGTTTTCTTCTTTTCTTATTCCCGCTTGATTATCACCGCTACGTCAAAGTGTAAATGTGGCCTATGATTTTTCGTACCCTTGTTAAATACATTATCGCACACGTGTCGCGTGCACGCATCACTGTCACTGCACAAACAATTCACTGGCCGCAAACACACGTAAACAATAACAACAACGTACATGTGCACGCCAACTGCACGGCTGCACGCCTTACGTCGAGATGCACTCACCGTACATGTGTATAAGCGCGAAAACACTGCACCATCAAATCATCGGCAGAAGAATGCTCTCTCGACGTGTTTTTCTTCTTCATCACACTCTCGGCGTTGTTATCATCAACAACACCACCAACTCTCTTTGATTCTCGCCATGTAAAAATACACACACACACACACACACACACAAAAAGAAAAGAAAGAGAGAGAGAGAGAGAGATAAAGAGTAGCTCAAAAGGGGAGTTAACAGGCTATGTAACTGTTGCCGCGTCGAGTAAATAACTTCTTAACGCACAGATTGACACAGAGTAAGAGTGAGAGAATGTTATGTGTGGCGATGTACGCGTAACACGTAAGACGCATATACCCTATCGATGATAAAAATTTGCACACAAACAATATTACGATCCTCAATCGCCGCACCACCGATTAAAGATCACAAAATAGTACGCACACGCGGGCATAGCTGTATCTAGTTGTTGTCTTGGGTGGTGGTGAGGTCGTCGTGCCCACCCACAATAACAACAAACCGCAGAGAGTATAGCACACGATGCAAAACACAGACACTTTTTTTTGTTACGAACAACAGCAACACCATAAACACACACACACACACACACACACGTATATGTATGTAACGTACGCAGTACAATATACACACGTATATCTATAATTGATACACACGTATGTATAGGTAATGGATTAATTCGAGAGAAGGCGCGGTGGCGTGATACGTGAGACACGCGACCCTCCACACCAAAGCGAGCGTCGCGCGAGACTGAAGTGTGCGGTCGGTGGTGGCGGTGGCGCGCGCGGCGCCCCCTTCTTTCCCTATTTCCCTTAGCGTTCGTCGATTCTCACATTTTCTTTCTCTTTCGTCGCCGGCGCTGCCAGCATACGTGTACACATTTACACAAACACACAAAAGCGCTTGTGCTTTCGCTCCGTCTCCTTTTCTCTTTCGTGTTATGCGTGGGGCTCTCTCTCTTTCTCGGAAAATCCCCCCTCCCCAACCCGAGTAGGGGAAGGAGACAAGCAAAGGAGGAGGGGCACAGCACGTACACGTATGTATATATATTTGACTTTTATACATATACATTCACAAAGTTTACAACGAAGGGCAGAGAGAGAGGGCAGGTGGTGATGGTAACACTACACAGACTGCACACTCTCTGCGGAGGCCCGTGGCACGAGGACGACATCTCGCGGTGAGCAAGAGTAGCACTAGTAGCAGTGACGAGGAGAGGGAGAAAGCGTAGGCGTTCGAAACTGTCGGTAAGTTTGTATACAGGTATATATTTATATAATCGTACGCGTTTCGGAGAGAAAAGGGGTTGTGTCAGTTGTGTGGATCGATTGTTCCGGACACACGGCGCGGCTGCCGTACAAGATATATCATATCATAGAGGAGCGAAGGGTGGGGGGAGTGTGTACGTTCGTATAGTGCGATTGACTGCGCGATGTGCACGGCACAAGAACGGCGTGCACGACGCGTGCGTTTGTTTACAGCGGCATCGGACTTGACTTGCCGTTCTCGAGCTGTTTTTTGTTGCTCTCCTTCTGCCGCTGCGCTGCGTTATGTACATATTTTATTTTGTGAGATAAAAGTAGAGACAATTTGATCGATGGCTTGTGACGTGAGAATACACTTGAAAAATTAAGTGGGATCCTTTTTTTATTTTTTCGTAGACGTAGGTGTATACACATACATGTATCGATGTATGTTGTTATAATCGTATTATTTACTCTGTAGAGGTCGCCGCCGACGCCGCCCGGCCGCCACGAGCGTGGGTCGTTGACCTTCCCTCCTATACTCAAACAAGCGTGTATACACGAGGAGAAACGTGTGTATGCATTTGTTATTACGTTCGGCTGATGAAATCTGGAGGATGCGTGAGTCATGAGTGTCATGAGGAAAATTCGACCATTGTATGATGGAATGTGTGTAGGTTTTTTTCTTTTTTTTTCCATATTGTCAACTGTCGTGGAAAAACAGACAAGGACGCTTATTTCTGGGAAAGGGCGAGCGGACACGGAGGTAACATGCGGTGATGAATGATGAACGTCGTGAAACGTATGTGCGTGGGGTCAATAACTTTTTGGGGTTTTCCTTTTTATTTTCGTAAGTACGAAACAGGGAGGGTGTACGTCAATAATTTCCAGCGTATGATGTATTTTTTTTATTCCATTATCGTTATTTATTTCAATCAGCATTATCAAATCGACAAGTTTATTTGCTTACGAGACGGTCGTGTGATGAAAAATAATTACGAGCAATTGGATTAAAAATAAATAGGTTTCGAGTTTTGACAATCAATATGCGAAAAATTTTACTTATAGTTACAAAAATAATATTAATAGTCTTTGATGTCTTTTTATTATCAACGTAGTGGCACAGTCGAGTGGAAAAAATTGCAATTGTTGAAACGCATCATGTCGCTGGTTGAAAAACAGTTAAGTATTATTATTGCCTATTTCTTAGCTATATGTAATTTACTTGTTATACTCGGTTACCAAAGGCACCTCCAACAAACATTTTACTAATAGATGTAGTTTTCTTCATTTTAACACCTAGAAGCCTTAATTAAAAATCAACAATTCACGCTTTTTATTACCTTTTAGTGAACAACGATTTATCATCATCCAGCGGTCTTCAAGTGTTCAAGGTCCAAAGAATCGTCATCGGCGATATTTTACAAACTATTCAAACATTCAACTTGTTTGTTTACTTACTAAGTATTTCAACCTCTATAAACTTTCGCATATTATATTTAAATTGGCAGTCTTATAACGAAATAAAAAATGTATTGGCCAGTACAACGAAAACACAGTATAATTAACGCATGCTTTTTTTCTTATTCGATGAAAAAAAAAAAAAAAAAAAAAAAAAAACTATGAATGCAAGAAAAAAACCTTAATTAGATGCACTTTGACACAAGCGTCAGAGTAAAGAGTCCAAGAAGCATCGAGGACGCACAGACGAGTGCCAGTGAATCGCGATTATAATTCGGGCAGGTCTCCTTGTCCAGGCACCTCCTGAAATTTGAGCGTGACGATAATCTTTAAAAACCGACATCTATAAATCTCTAAATACTACTTTTATTTATCTTCTCCGACGTAAAATAATAATACTAGGGCTTTCTCTTTTACGTGAGAATATAATATAGTAAAAAACGCTTTCGTGTACTATACTGTTATAATCTTAACAAGTGAAGGTACAATCAATTTCTTACCAAACCTAGTAAAAATGGCAAAATCGACTAATGATTAATTTTTCCGTATACAATAAACAAAATATTTGAATCAGTGGTTTGTACTTATAAAAATCAATGGGCTACCATGTAGATTTATTCAAAAGGTTTTAATGGTATTAATTATTCCACATAACACTGGAAGTTAGGTAACATTTCATGGGGTTCCTTTGACACGCTACCGCACAAAGGATGTATATACGTAGGTGTGACCCAACATTCAAAGCCGATTAATAAATACTTTCGAATAATTATACTCACGATCTCTCGATGACAAGCACAACGAGTCCCGTGACGACCTTGTCTAAGAACGTGACGATCGAGTAAACGAGAGCGCTGCTCTCGGTCCTCGATCCGATCAGATCGGCCGTGATGCTCAAGGCCGTGACCATCGTGATCGAACTTCCGGCCCCGATCAGCACCGCCGCTGTGTACATCGTTGGGCCGTTGCTCTCGGAGAACTCAACGACCACCGCTGCCAGTAGGCCTATCAGGCTGCCTAGTAGGTAGCAAAACTGTAATTTAAAAAATTTTAAATAGGTAGAGAATCAGTAAGTATTTTTTATTTTGTATAGTTTACAGGGTTTCCACAGATCCGGGGGTACTCGGAGTTTTTTTTTTTTTTTTTTTAGATCACGTGGAGACGGGGAAAATTCCGAAGATGAACTTTTAGATCATACATTATGTGAATAAACGAGACACGAGGACATGCTTTTGTTGTAATTACACTTACAAACATTAAGTTTCATAATAATTTTTTGTTTGTTTTTAATCGATTGTAAAACTCACCGTTTTTTATTACTTTACACTACTTAAAATTATGATACTTTGTCATATTTTTTAAATCTCACTGTGATAATTGTTCAAGTAAAATATACGGAAGAATTTTATGTTACAAGTAAGTTGTTCTGCAGAGGGACAACACAACAATATTTAGTTACATTATGGAACATAGGACGAGGGTAAAAATAGTGATATTCAGGGTATATACGATTGAAACAACGTGAGAAAAATATATTTCACAGTGTAAGAAAAGTTTTTTCACCTACAAACAGATCGAAAGTGCTACTTTATTTTTTATTAAAAAACAGAGTTGTACTATTGCAGATGTAATTATATAGTTTTTTTGGTGGGGGTAAAATACGATTTTACATAGAGCTATATAACAAACACTTGACCCGATTTAGTTGAAAGAAGACAAAAAAACAAACAAACAAAAATCAACGCATACGTCGAAACGAATCATTGTAAGTAACGTAAAACTTGAAATAAATTTAAAGAGAGAGAGAATTATGTGATAAATAATTTGCCAAGGTATTCCACGAACATAGATGGTTCGAAAAAACTTTATTTAGATCCAAAGACACAACATGGAGTAAGAAGTAAATCTACCGCAGCCTCTGTAAAGCCACCCTCAAACCCGCGATCCAATCACCTTGAAAGCTCATCCCGACGCACTTCGAAAACCCCAGTCGAGGCCCGACGGAACCCGCAGGTCCCCAAATGAATCAAGAAACACGACACAGCAAAGAAAAACACGCGCAAAACAAACGTCCGCTTCAGACGTGCTCTATTCTCGCTCGGCTATTGCGACCTGCGACAATAATTCAATTAGCCGACCGCTTAGCGCCGTGCGTCACTGTCCCGACGCCCACAACTTCCCGCGTATCCCCTACATACACACACACACTCACACCCCGACAAATTTACCGTCCGACCCTACCACGTTAGACCATTTCTAAAGTATATTATAAGCTCGAAGTGCCCGAAAATAATACGCGACGTTCACCCCCCTTTTAGCGAACCTCGAGGACATGAAGTTGACGCGATGTTATACCCCATCCGTATAAATCTCTCGCGCGCTGTACTTGTATATTTATATATATATGTATATGCGCGCGCGTATGGTGGCATAGGTATAGAAGTTCGGGCCGTCGTGCGACGTGTATTTTCGCTTTGAGTTACACAAGGATGCATCTGTATATGCGTGTAAATGAGTAATGTGCCCCCCCCCCCTCAAACTCGCGTGTCTGGTAATATTAAAGTGAGCCGTTTATAGAAATGCGCGCATTTATACAGCGGGTGTTTTTTTTTTTTTCATCATGTTTTTCAGCCCGAACCCCGAGTGAAGTTGATTGAAGTGGAAGTGCGTGGTGTAGGAGAAAGTTTTCCATATATTCTAGCTTATTTTGAGTGGGCAGGAGTTTTCCCTTTCCTTTAATTCGAGGAAAGTGAATATTCATTATGCGTACGGGGAATTAGAAAAACGGAAAATCGGCACTGGTGGTCGCAAAGCTCATAGTCACCGAGATTTACAGTCGAGACACGTACGGGTGTACTCACTTCTAAAATTTATATGTACTACAACTTACAAGTGCAAGTGTCCCGAGGGTCGTTAATTGGCCGGAAAATGCCATTTCAAGCGTCACGCGTCAGATCTATCATACCGATTGTGCCGATTGTGATTAGCCGATGATTGAAACTTTGTTAAACAATTTAAGTAGTTAACAGAGGAATTTATACAACTTGTTTGTAGTGTGTGTGGCGTAATGTGTGTATAAAAATGAGATATCGGAGTTTAAACGTGTTTGCGGTTGATTAGCGCAGCTTTCGAACAAAAGGGAACAAGTGGAGCGCGGAACTTGTTTTTACCGATCGGTATTGATACGCCTCCGCTCGTAATTGGCTCTTGACGATTTTTGCCGAGACGTTGGAATGGGAGAAAAAAAAGAGAAAGTGCAAAACTTGCACGCGCGAGTGCGTCGCTCGAAAAAGTTTTTTTAAAAGATGATTAATCGATCGGCTCGGGTGTCGGACCCGGAAAAATTGATTGCCATAGAGTGGAGATCAAAGAACATCGCACGAACAAGCTGTACGAGCATGCATTAACGCGTGCAATGATGACAACAATCATTTGTCTATCTGTTATTAATGAACACTTCACGTGAAACGACCAATTTTGTATTAATGTCTCGTCAAATTGAACGAAATTGTAATTAATGATTATTCGCAATTTTCTTTCTTTCTTTTTTTTTTTTTTTTGCTCTTGTAATTGAATAAGCAACCAAACTCTCACTTCTCCCTAACTAGTTAGCTATAAATATTTCAATTTATAATTTATATACGAGTAATGGCTTACTTTTAATATATTTTCATGATGTATTAATTGTTGTGTGTAACATCACAATTTATTATAAAATTAAGTTCTATTGCTCTTTGAATGATATATTGTAAAGACAAAATCTCTGTAACAACTACTTCATATCGTCCCTGGATGGAAATAATGTGATTCTTGACTCGAGAAGGCATAGATTGACGTTACGAGCCCAAACCTCATGAGAAAATTTCCACTCGTCTCATCGAAATATTTAAAGTACCATCACGAAAACCCCTAAAAATCTTTTCCAACATCTGAAAAAAAGAAAAACACGTTTTCCCAACCCAAGACCGCAAACAGACGGCTTTGGCTATACTTCTTTCTTTTCTCTTGCAAACACCCCTTTGGAGCGCCATTTGATTCACCTAAGCGAACTTCAAAAACCCGTTTCACCCCGACAATCGTCCCTACGATCTTACCCTCCATGCCCCATCAGCAAGGCTTATCTTATCGTCGTTACTTCGCCTCCGCTCCTCTTTTCCACCACTTAGCTGCACGTAGATGCGATCGTGTATACGTACTTCGCGACGTCTAGTACCAAGCGTGTATATATAGGCGCACTTGTTCAATACTTGTATATCTTTCCACACCATCCGACGAAGTTGCTCGAATTTTTTTTTTTTTCTTTCTCGCGCACCCTCTTCCCTCTCGATCCCTCCAAGTGTACACGGTGCACGCGTTTCCGGAATTCGAAATTAATTGCACGCCGAGCCGAGCTAAAAATAACGACTACGTGGGGTCATGTATATATATATATACACCTTATAGATATCTACTTTAAGTGTACGCGCACATGCCGAGACGCCGCAATTTAATTGAGCAGGGCAGGGGACGCCATACAAGTATACTCGACACTGATACCCATACCTATATGGTATATACGTGAAGTACAGGTATAATTAATAAAAGGTGCGTGAGAGCTGCACTACAGAGTATAATATCTCTCTCTCTCTCTCTCTCCCTATACTTCATAGGTGGTGTATATACCATGCCGGGTGGGGACTAGTAATAGCGTAATAACGCACCTCCATACTTTATCCACCTGTACGTGCTCTCTCGTGTTGCATTTACATTTTTTTCATTACTCGGTCGCTCTTTAATCAGGCCCTCGCGGACATGAAAGAAGTTTGAGCGCTCAACTTCGTCCTGGTGCATATACGCGCCTAGGTCCTGTTCAACACGCCAAAAGACATATACCTACATATATTACCGGGCGCGGCTTCGCGTGCCGTAATTTATAGGTGGTGCGTATATATTATACGTATACGTGCAGGTTACACTCGCGAGTTGATACTTTGATGCGATAAAAGGAAAAACGTCACGGTATTGTAGGGTGGTTAAACGGTTGGGGGTAATAGTTGCCCGAAATCGGGCTTCGCTCTTTGCATGACATTATACAAGGCGATGGCAAATATTTTCTAGTTTTTTTTATTTTATTCGTGATTTTTCGTTATTGATGTTGCCATGACGTTTCGACGTCTCTCTCGCGTCGGACGAGGTACACGCTGATCCCTCGATAAATCGAAACTTGCCTCGGCGACAAGTGGACAATACCAATAATTACCCTCGAGAAAATAATATGAAGGATAGAATAAATCCACTCATGGGAGGCGTGCAAAGAAAAATTGAGTTTTCGCTCAAACAGAAGCGAAAAAAGTATGGGTACCAATACACAGTTGCGCATACAAACAACCAGACAGACACGCCCTCTGATTATCGCAAAGTGTTGAATAAACGTCGGACGCTGATAAATGGATGTTCCGTTCAGATATAAAAGCAGAGACGAGAAGGTGGAGGTGAAAAAAAAAAAAAAAAAAAAGTTGCAATGAAGTAGGGAACCACTCGTCTTGTATCTGCGAATTTTATCGCGTACACGTAATTAATAATGGATCGGCCGAAGCGTGCGTTTTTCCCGGATTGGCGAAGTTCGCGTGTTTGCCTTGAAGATAATATGAAACTTTCATTAATACACGGACTTATGGTTTTAATTACACGTAACGAGTGGTAGTCGTGACCCCCGGGAGTCCCTATTATGGCACATCCACAGGTCTCCAACTTTTTCTTTTTCCCCCACTGTCTGAGGTATTTTGCCATCGTGTATCTGCACATATGCATTTTTTTTTCCCTAGTATTACCGGCGAGTCAAGAATAATTTAATTAGTTCAAAGGGAAACTTCGCGGAAAACAATACACCAGCCATTAATCTTCGTTGAAGTTGAGGTGGGGCTAACGAGGGGGACTATACATACGGGGCTTGTCTCGTTTATACGTCCACGTGATGTGTACATAATTATGTCTCTGTGGGGTACACCCGTAAAAGTCCCCTTAATTTTTTTGCTGCATCGGCGGTAGTTTTTACAAGTACCTCGGATAATTTATTGTTTTATGAGACATCACATTGTGGACGTTACAAAATCACTCAATCAGTTTCATCGCTATACACGGCTTTTAGCGTTGCAATTAGATATTTGACGTTTATGGATCATATAATTTTTTTTTTTTTCTTTTTACACCAGTTGCCATAGCCATTGGGTTTGATTTTGCTAGAGCATTCAACAGCCTCACCTTGGACCCGCACGACCGGTTGATGTGCTTGAGCAGAAAAGCGGCAAGGAATGCCGAGGCGTACGACACCATGGGCACGGTGGCCAAGGCTTGTCTGCCGCCGATGTTGGTCTCTTCGATGTATAGGGGCAAGTAAACCGTGGCCAGGGTGACAAAGAGCCTACTGGCGACGTAGAGCAGCGCGACTCGGGCCAGCAGACCGATGTCCAGCCACGAGGACTTGCGCCGGCGGCTGGGCGATGACTCGCGGTAGGGCCTCTTCGAGCCGGTCACGATCGAGTCGTTCAGATCGGCTTCGATGCAGTGCACGGCTTCGTTGCTGCCCGACGACTGGCTGCTCACCTCCAGCAGCCGGGCGTTCAGGAACGCGTGGAACAGGATCGTCGAGGTCGCGCCGAACAGCGTCAGGACGACCGTTATGTTCTGCAAGAAATCGATGCCGATTTATCAGTCGATCGATCGTTTATTGTTTTAATATACCTACGCGAAATTTAATACTGTCTTGAGGTCCGATGCGCGCGACGGATTCCTCGGTGGTTGGGAGCACAGCCCACGTGACGACGAAGACAACCACGGCGGCGCTCACTTGGGCCGAGTACCTGTTGGCAGGGGATAAAATGAGTTTTCGTTACCGTATACATTTTGCACCTCGTATAAAATAACATTACCCCTACATATTTGTACAGGTTTATCGAAATTATATACGTCTGCAGGTGCGTACGATGTTGTATATAATCATTCAAGTAACGACGTGTCTTTGGAAAGCTCATTAATACTAATTGGCTATTCGTGGGGTGGATGAATTTATTCATAAGCACTTGTGAAAGCCAACAGCGTGGAAAAACAACGCGGGGCACGCGAAGCTGGCGATAAAAAATTTTACAAAGAAACGATAGCGAGGAAATTGTAATTGAAGGTGTTTTTTTTTTTTTTCCTGTCTAATTTATACTGATAAAATATATTGATGAATCGAGTTGCCTGATAGCGGTGAGTTCGGCTCTGAGTAGGGCCGTGTGAGCCAGGGCAGGTATCATGGACAGGTGGGATATCTGCACGGCGGCCCAGCCGGTTTGGAAGACGACGATGCTGGCCACGTAGACGAGCAATTTGCTCGAGCCGGTGGGACTCGCCGTCGGCACGAAGCTGCCGAATATCACGGGAAACGACAGTCCGACCATGACGGAGCCTATGACGTGCCAGGTCTTGCGCTTCGAGTAGCGGTCCACTAGTACGCCGAACACCGGTGTCATCAGGGCGTCGGTCACTTGGCCTGTGGACGAGGACACAAAAAAAATCATTGTCGATACTTGCTCGAGTCCACTGTAAGGGAAGGATGACAATTAATACGTTGGATAATCGCATCTTCGCCCAATAATTTTTTTATCTTATTTTGTTTGTCGAATCAGTTAAAAAATACCTTATCTTATGACCATTGCGGAAAACATCAGTTTTTTAAGCTTAGGAGAAAAAAAAAAGAAATACAAAGTGTTCTATATTATAAAAACATTCGAATTAACGGTATTTTTGCTTTAACTTGAAACTATTTTAAAAATAAATCTCTATGGCTTACTTGTTTGCCATTTTTGTGAATGTACATACGGAACAAGTTTGGATTTAATGCCAGTCACAATAATTGAGAAACTCTTTTTGGTCGATTTTTTGACGATGCGTTGAATCTCAATAAAAGAACCAACTTTAATATTCGACCCGATTAATACATTCCAGTTCGATGTTCCGCGTTCCGCGCACGGAATCGTTGATTTCGGCTATACCTCCCGGTTTACAACTCAACGAAAAAGGTACTTTTCTGCTCAGTCGCCGTACATTTGTACCAATACGGAAGTTCCCTATGAAAAGTCCCTAGCGCGATCAATTTGTGCCCCTGGGAACGCTACAACCCGTCAACCAACCGAGCAACAAGAGAAACCCAGCAGTGAGGGGCTCGAGGAGAGCCACTCGCTGGAGAAAGAGCAGCGTGTACGAGAACCACATGGCGGCGACGAGATCGTTGAACACGTGTCCGAGAGCGTAGGCCGTCCTGGTTGTCCTCGTGATCGCGCCTCCCTCGATGAGTGGGCTGCGCTCGTCGTCCAACTGCAGCAACGACATCGTCAAGCCTCTTCTAGTAAACCACCTCTTGACACAGAATCTGTCCAACAAGCGCATTCATTTTTTTATCTACGTATTCAAAGTCTTTTTTACTCATAATGCGAAGCCCGACTAACATGTTAGAGGTGCTGTCAAAAATGATAACTATTAAAGAACTGTATGAATGTTGAAAATGGTGTGAACCTTTTTTTGTTGGAATCATCACGATTGTTATTTACAGACATTCCTTATATAAATTGCACTTGTTGCGAACGATGACAAAGTATTTTAAAACTTCGTTATCGGCGTGTACTACCTTTTTGTAACTATAGTTTAGTAACGTACATAAAGTTTTTTTTACTGTTATCAATCTCGGGATGGTTTATAAAAAAGAAAAAAAAAAAAAAAAAGGTATCTTCAAGCTCAACTTGTCGCACGCAGTAACGGATATGGAGGTAAGTACGTTATGATCCACCACACACGACTTGGCGATGAATCAAAGGTATGACATACCGATCTTCTTGTCACGAGTCGTCGTTTCCTTCACCTGCACGTGAAACCTCGTAGCTGTTAAATATGTTTGTTCGAGTAAAATGAATGAGCGGATGTTGGTGGTGTAACCGGTGCTCAGCTATTCTTTTACGACCATTGAGAGTTTTGCCGGAAGCGCAAGAGCTTTTCGACCTGTTTACCTATTATGTTTTATCAACCTTTTTTTTTTTTTTTTTTTTTTTTTGTACGTATCAATTGCCGTGACGGTTTTTCGTTTGGAAATAAATCGTCTTGAAAAGGCTACGGCCGACTCTCTTATCTTATTTTTTGGTTTGTGCAACATCCTCTCGTCTTACGTCCATGGTCGCAAGTAAAAGCACTAAAAATTTTTATTTCGTTTCGTCAAGTATTATATTACCTAGTCACGTAAAAAAAAAAAAAAAAAACAAAAAACCTGATAAAGCTTAGGAATTTTTGCTACTGGAGTTTAACGAAAATGGCAATAAAAAGGAGAACGTTTGTATTATTCCTGCATCAGTAAAACCGATTTACTAATAATTTGAATCAACGGAAAACTTACGCAGAATACCTGATCGCCCTGAAAGCCATGTCCCTTCGGCAGATTAACTCGTTCCTCGCCTCAATTTTGCAAAACGGTTACAAAATCACATCTCATCGTGCTTATATCCTCCATCATCACCTCCTCCTCGCCTCCTCGCCATATCAATTGTGTATAAACAATCGAATCAAAGCGTAATTGCCGTCTTCCTATACGATTGCACGGACATACGCGTCCCAAGGGGGGTGCGGATACAATATTGCTCATACGTTTGTACAAACACACTGTATTTTACACATTTTTAATTCACTTTTGCGCAATTACATCGTTTGCTCCTCTTCCGATTCTCCCGATTCCCCGTGCGTTTATCGCGTTCACGTCGTGATGTGCAATATCGCTGAGTCTGTATGTATTTGTGCACGTGTCTTGTACTTGCGTATGTATAAATAAATAAATAAATAAATACAGATCTATATTATGTTGTATGAACGCGTGTACTTTTTACCCACACGTGCGTAAACGATTTTAATTTTTTTTTTATCCTTGGTGCTTTCAAATGATGCTGCACATATTATTGCAATGACGATGCTTATAGTCTCACTCAAGAAAAAGTAAACGAATTAACGTGCAGTACTTCACATTGGCACCAGAGCAAATCGATCTCTTGGATTTTCACGCGCGCAAACAGTACAAATCAGCCACAAACATTGGCATTAAAACGCTATCGTCGACCACAATAAGAGCAAAAAGCACCAGACGATGCCGATCGTCACCGGTAAACTGTGCGCGCGCTACATCATATACGTGCCCTGCCAAGAGAGGAGAAAAAAAAATGCGACCGCGCTGCCAGTCGGCGCGTCGACTTCTCTGCTTTGGGACTCTCCGTTCGAGCCTTTCACCGATCGCGCAATCGCTACTTCATACTCGAGTGTGTATGTACGTGATATACGTGAGAAGAGGAGGAGGCCGCTGAGAGCTACAGGGTCCGTAAACGGGATGACGAGCACGAGAGAGCATTTTTTTTTTTTTTTTTTTTCTTTCACTCTTTTTTACGTTTTTGTGAGCGCTGGGGGAAAAAATGTTTTTGATGCGATGAAAAAAAGTTCGTGAGAGAAATCTTTTTGTTTTTTTCATGAATACCGATCACTTGCTCGTAAGTTGGTTCTGTTTCGTATTTGGAATTGTTTCGATGATGATTACCAGTACGACGTGTAGCGAGAAAGAAGAGCCGGCCGGTATATCGGTAAGAGCGTAGAGCTCGACTAACAGATACTCGATACCCTCACGTGCCGCGACGGAAAAGCTCTTATCAAATTTCATGCACTCCCGTTCGATGACGTTTCTCAATGAAAAAATTGTTCATTCACATTTGCTTGTTCACAAACAATTTTCTCATCAATAAAACAATTTGCTGATCGATAAATCGGTAAAACATGTGATCATCGTGACTGTACGAAATATCATGATTTATTACAGCTTTTTTTTATTTCATTTGTTTCATAAATTTAATTGAATCTCACAATTTTCGAATATTCTTACGCGTTATGAAAGTTTAAGAACATAAGCAAGCGAGATAAGTGCAGCTTATAATCTTATCGATTAATATATAATAATAATATATAAAAAAGAGCATATTTGATAAGTTTTTTTAAAGAAACGAAAATATAAATGAAACTCGTTTTAACGACAAGCACACGTCAATACATCAATAATTCCTGATGGATAAATTTTTTATAGTTTTGGAAAATGACGGTGTAGGTATACGTTCATCAGCCGCGCAAGAAATAATGTGCATCTTGATTCATGGAAAAAGTATTATGCTCGCACCGCGAGTATCGGATTTCGTTAGAGTATCGCTGAACTTTACAGGTGGTTGACTCCACAAGTATTTCATTATGTAAGATGGTAATGATGTAACTTGTGCATCATAATTTTATTTTAATGCATTTGAGACAGAATAGTATAAAAGCCTATGCCGATAATTGAGGCGTCAGCAATTAGTGAGTAAAACTCATGTAAATTACATTTGACTCACCACATTACTCTGAAACTTCCAGTCACCCGATCCCATCGATGGGACGTGGAACAATGTTTGCAACTTCAATCCACTTGCTTCGTCACTCTTTGCCCAAAAGCACCAAAGTCCAACTCCGGCGAAAGAAGAGGAAAATCACAAGTGAGTCTCCTCGTGGCTCGCGGTCACGCGTATACCGCGGGTGAATCGCCTAGCTATGAAGCGCGACGTCTGAGCTTGAGCTGCTAGCCCCTAGAGCTGTCTTCTTCCGTCGTGGTCGTGGACATGCACACGTGTAACCTGAGATCACTTGGTGCAAGACAGAAAGAGCGAGTGAGAGAGAGAGATGGAAAAGCGGAGGTGGGAATCGATATATCTGCCTGGGCGTTGTTGTACGGTCTCGCTGAGAGTTGAGTACAATGCACTTTACTGGCTATTCCTTGTCTTTTTTTTTCCCCTCCCCCGGAGTATTAATGATACTATAGCAGAGGGTGTGAAAATTATGCTAATTGTTGATTCAACGGGTAGGATCAAGGACGATTTTCTGATATACATGAACATCATTTATCATCAGAAAATCTCTTCATTCTGATTTTGGCTCCTTCATCTGTATTTTTGGCAAGTTTTGCATTCTGAAAGAACAAAATACACAAAATACATTTTAGTTTAGGAATATCGCATCTAATGCACGCATAAAACAAAAAAAAAAAAAAAAAAAACAAAAATGTTAAAAAAATATTACCAGGTTCGGGAGGATTTCCAAAAGTGCTTTGCAACAATTGCGGCGTTTTTGGTAAGTTTACCATAAGGGTTGGCCTTGCATGCTTCCTTCTGACCGATGCTTCTGCCACACTGTCCGAAAGATACTTGGTACTACACTCTCCCGGCGAAATATTTGTTTGGCAAGAGATTCGGTCTATCCGTGAACAAACATATATGAATGTGAATTATTTTTCAACCTTCTGTTCCAAGCCCTGTCTCACAGAGATTTGATGTGCACTTTCTCCTCTGCTATTGAATATTGAAAATTGATAGGTACTTCACCATATCAGTTGTTTGAATCTAATTCCTACATGGTCTCGATCTGATTCTGTTACTTGGTCATGTTGAAACTCCAGTCCAGTTTCAATGACTTTCAAGTTAGTCAACTGTTGCTCGATGATGAGAGATATAGAGAACTACATAAAGACTTGTCTAAAGAACGAAATAAAACATTTACATTTTTGTTGACAAGTTAATCATACATTTTAATTTCCATTTAGTTTTTACATTCATAAACACAATACTAAGTTAGACATACAATGTTGTAGTTAAATTAACATTTGAACTTAAATCTGTACAGAGAATGCAAGTATAAATTTACACAAACAACTTCCATTAAGTACTCATGTCGATACTTCTTTTAACATGGAATACGAAATCATTGATACATTAAATATTAGTTTAAAACATCAAAGGTCTTGACTTTACTTTTAGATTGCCAGTAGCTTTTTGTACTGGAGCTAGACAAAGATGAAGTGTTGAATGATGAATCACTTAAAGTTGTTGATGTATTTACTGAATTACTTATTTCCACCTGGAAAAATTATAAATCATCATAGGGCGTTCAGATTGTAATAAGTAGCTGATAAAATATTGTTTCAACTGTTACCATTTCATCAAAAATTTTAGTCAACATATCAGGACTTGAAGTGTCGAATCTTGAAGTATCTATCTCTTTGACTTCTCGCATGGCTGCTTTTGAAGGGAAGGATTCAACAGCATCGCTATTAATTTTCAAATTTTTCTTTACGTATCGAGTTGAAACGGAACCGCCTTGACATATTTGCTTTAATTCAGACAGATTATATTTCTCAGCTGCATTGGTCAAATTTTTCGCGTGCAAGTAAATATTTTCAACTTTTCCACTGTAGATAAACCTGAGCACCTCAACCATTGTTTTAGTGTCAAAATCGTTGATTTCTAATACATGCAAATTGTTTCCATCAGCTGCGTGTTTTTCAAACAAATTTTTGAAAAAAGTACAGCGTGTCGCTAATATGGACTTGTGAGCAGGAAACGACTTTCCATTTATCACAAGAGTAATGTCGCTGTATGTTCCATTTTGCCAAAGTGAATGGTAATCATCAACAACAGAATCTTTGGAATCGTACTTGTTCTTGGGCGTCAAGTTGTACTGTGGACTCGTTATAATGTCAACTGAACTAATAGTTAGTTTGAGGTCACAGAGGACAGTCAATGAATCATTTACTACAAGCCTCAGAGCTGGATCATACAATTGGTTCCTGCCAATAAAATTATTAAAACCTATAGATGCTCCATTCACAAAATCTACTTCTGACATATATCCCGTGTATGCAACTCCTTTGTTTTCGTTCAACAAAAAAAATTGAAACTTGACAGACATCATGGACCGGCTATGCTTTAAAAAAAGATACAGTCCTGCAGCATTGGGATTTACAATTTCACAGGGGCAGAAATTTAAGCACCATTTAGTTTGAGTCTTAGGCTCTGTAAATTCTGGGGAGGATATGTATGCACCAGGTCGTCTTAAGTTGCTGAAGTTATAAACAGTCCATACAAAGTTCGTTTTTATAACTTCCAAATTGGTGACTCCCACTTGAGGTGTAATTGACATGTTTTTTGCTAACCTAGAACACATAAAACCGTTACATTGGCAACAAATGGGCACTATACAACAACCTTGAAAAAGTTACATGAGGTAAACAACATATTCAACACCTTATACGAAAACGTAAATATCATTTAAAGTACTTATACGTGCATGACAATGTAGTTTTTTTTAATCAACTTATGTTTTTTTTAAATACAAAACACTTCTTACACGCAAATTTCTAAGTATGTAGAGAATATTGAAAGCACGTTTAGGCGTGCACAAGTCGTCAAGAAAACATCAAATGACAAAGTTTTATACTTAATTACACAAATTTTATTGTTTCTTGTGTTTTTTTTAANTTTTTTATTTTAAGCCATGTAAGTAAAATATTTGTTGTTTTAGAGGTCAATTTTGGCACTACTATAAATAGTAATAATTATTTGGATCAGCGCCATCTAGCGTTGCGAATTTCTGAGCTAAAAAGTGGCCCTAAACTTTTGAACCCTAGCTTTAGCGCTTAGAGCCATTTAGTCAATTATAAACCAGCCGCAACTCATGATCAAGCTATAAAATAAAAAAATAACGATACATGTGTTTTTGGCGACAAATTAACAATCTATTTTCTCCCAAAAAATCGACCTCCTATGTGTTTACACTTTTGAAGATAAATTTTCGAGCATAAGGTAGATTGTAAATTTGCCGCCAAAAAAACATGTATCGTTATTTTTTTATTCTATAGCTTTATCATGAGTTGCGGCTGGTTTATAATTGACTAAATGGCTCTAAGCGCTAAAACTAGGGTTCAAAAGTTTAGGGGCACTTTTTAGCTCAGAAATTCGCAACGCTAGATGGCGCTGATCCAAATAATTATTACTATTCATAGTAGAGCCATTTCAATTATTATAAACCAGCCGCAACTGATCGTGTGGTTGTAAAATAAAAAGTTAAGGTTGTTTGGGCTGTTTGCGGCAAGTTTACATTATATCTTTTACTTGAAAGTATTAAAGAGAAACAATGATGCATCCTCTGCAGGTATGTTGAGCGACGTTTCAGTTTACTTTTCAAGAAAGTTAAGTTAAAAAGCTAACAAAGTTAATTAATGCCATCAACAAAAAGGAGCAGACTATCCAACTCCATTAAACGTTTCGACCATCAATAAATGAACACGCCATTGTTTGAGAGCAACAATGCAGTAATTGAGACAACCGACAACATTTGCTGGAACTATTTGTCTTCTTGTCCATCATTAATTCCTAGAGGATTAATAATTGAATTGTGATAGCTTTGTTTCATTAAAATGTTCTCTATCTTGAAAATTTTGTAGCATCAATGGGAGATGAATGAAATAAAAATAAACTGTTGAAATATGCATTAAAAAGAGTTGATATCTTTATTCAAAACACTAATAAGTGACAAGGAAGTTCATACTAATTATCATTAAAGTATACAATAGTATATAAGATAGACAAATAATGGGATAAAAACATCGTTCATTCAGATAACTCAATAAATATACTGTGTCAATGATTTACATGCATAAGTATATGGCTAATAGTATGAAAAAGGAAAGTCAACACACTTTTTTTCTTTTAATATCTAATGCGAACGATGCTCCAGTTTCTTGATGAATTTTTTTCTGCAATAAATTATCACAAAATTGTTGAAAAAATTAAAAATGTTTTTAAATGTTCAACTTTTATGTTATATCTACCATTGAGCTGAAGATTTAAACAATCAAATCTGGTCTTGTAGCTTTTAGCTTTTCATATCCTGCTGTTTCCGTCACTTGTGCTACATTCAAAGCAATATACTCCATGACCTTTATTTTCAATGTGCTGGCATCGTGATCATCTGCTGTCAACAAAAGGCTTGAAGCATTGGAAATATTTAATCCATGGAGGAAATTGTTTTCACACATAAGTTTCAGTCCATTCAAATCAAATCTATTTGCAGCAGCTAATAACTCAAGAGTATTCGATTCAAGATTTTCAACTTTGCCACTATAGATGTAATTTAATATTTCACACATCACCTCATAAGTTAAACCATTGATTTCTATGACCATGGGGTTTGTATCACAGTTTTTGGTCTGATTGTGCATTAATTTATGAAAGAAAGGACTACGAGTAGCAAGTATATTTCTGTGTACATAGCATTTTTTTTTATTTACAAGAAGTATGGCATCACTGTAAAGTCCAGTTTGCCACAAGGAAAATATATCATCAACGAGGCTAAATTTGTTATTATTTGAAGTCTCCTGTGTTGTACAGCACTTGTCAGTACTATTACCAAAGCAATTATATGATCTAACGTGGCAACAGATTATTAGTGTGTTGTTAGGCATTAACATGACTTTGTCCCGAAACAATTTTTCACGTTCAATAAATTTATTATACCCCCAGCCAGAGTTAAATGTTGAATATTCTCTTGTTGACGACCAGGGAACTTCATAAACAACATCTCCATTTTTACCTAATAGTGAAAATTTACGTTTCGCCAAAACTTTTTCTTGAGATTCGTGTTTTATATAAAGATATAAACTTAAATTGTTAGGCGCTTCTTTTTCTCCAGAAGGATACAAATTCAACTTGAAATTTAGATTCTCTTCCTTCTTGAAAATTGGTGATTGAATAGATTCACCTACACCTTCTCGGCACAAATGAAAATTATTTATTGTCCATTTAAAGCTGCTATCTATAACTTTCGTATTCTTACAACAAGTTGGAGAATTGTTACTCATGTTTTACATTTATTTTTTTGAGTGTCTCTTGTAATTATATTTCCAAGTTACTAAACATAAAAGATGTGTGGTTAACCTCAAATAATGCTGTATCTTGATGTGAACTCAGACATTAATTAAACAAATTAGTTCTTACATAAATCTAACAGTTTCATTACAACTTTTGTGAATGAACCTTTAGAAGTATTTATTTTATTCACTTTACAACTCCATGACAACCTTATAATCGATTTCCTTACATCAATAAATAATACATCACTAAATCTTCCGGATACAGATATGAGAAATGATCCAGTTTGATGGTTTAGTCATTCTACTTGTTCCACTCATTTCTACAAAGCGCGTTCCATAGTTCCACAACCATTTGTAACAAAGAGAATAATAACCAAAGTTGCGGTAATCTTCGGATTTAATAAAGGGGGAAAAAGGACCGTTAATCTCATGCTAATCTTATCTAGAAATGCATTTTCTATAATCTTAGATGAGTGTTATAGATAAGACTATCGTTTGAGGAGCGGTCGTTTTTCCCTCTTTATTAAATTTTTACATTGCCGACACTTTGTTGTTTGTTATCAATCATTGTATAAAACCAACCGGTAAAGTTGGGGCTGGTTTTGTTTTGTAAGAGGGGTCTATGTTTTTGAAGGTCGATTTTTCATTTTTGGGTAAAAGATAAATTCTAATTTTGCTCCATCTGGCTCTATATAGCAATAACTTTGGATTTTCTATCCATTGGTTTAAATTGCGGCTGGTTTATAAAATTGACCACATGGCACCACTTAAATTATTGCATCAGAATAATGAAATATAACAAAAATATTTCAGATCTCCATGGTCATGAAGGTCATCAAATCTGGTCAGTGTTGTGGCTGGTTTAAATTTTGGATTATTTTAGATTACCCCCGGTACATAATTACCGTGTTTTATCACTAAAAAACTTTAATTACTCATAGAACTTAAGCAATATAATGTTAATAGTTGCTGAAACATTATATTCGGAACGTTGCAATATAAAATTGCTTGCATACTTATAGTATACCACTTGGAACGAGTTTTTCATTTCATGATAACGATTAAAATAATGACAATACTTGGATCATCAAGACTCAGATCTTAGGCAGTAGGGTTTATTATATTGGAATTTCAAAAGGTCATGTGACTCTCGCGGTATATATAGTCACTTGGGGGAAAAATAACACAGGTCTTGTAGGTGCAATTATATATATATATTTTTTTTTTACACGTTCAGCGATTGTACGATCTCACGTTGAATAATTTCTGTTTCCTCAAGCGCAAAGAGCAGTAATATCAACAGATTCATCCTAGACATGTGTATCAACTCGGGCCATCAGGAAGAGTCATTTGTCGATTTCATACTACAACTAGCGCCGGAATTCGACAATCGCGGAAATTTTTTCATCGAAAGTCTACTATGTTGCGCGGAATCGATGGACCATCAAAAGCTCCACCAGAATAACGGGAAATGCTCTCTAGTCGAGTTATTACCCGAATATGTCATCGACTCCTCTATTGGTATGCGGGGTTGCTCAAATTTGCATGTAGCCGTTCGACACGGAAATAAGAGTGCGGTTGAAGATCTCCTGCTGAAAGGGGCTTGCGTCAATGTAAAAAATACGTTTGCCGATACCCCTTTGCACTCGTTGTTGAAGGAAATAAGCTTTGGAGAGCAGTGCAACAAGATAGCCAGGCTGCTTATTGAATATGGTAATTAAGGTTTTTACACTAACTCCATCGATTCTAAAATATGTATTTTTTTCTTGTGTTTTAATTAAACATAAATTCTTACTCGAATTGCAGAATCTGAATTTAAAAATCACGATAGTGGAAAAATTAAAGAAAAAAAATTTGTCACTCTCAATAAACGTTTATTTTTTAATACAATAAATATTTAGTCACATCTATAAAATGTTACATTTTAAAGAAATTGTTTATTTAATTTAAATTAATATTAAAATATCTTGATAGATAAATATTAACAAAGGTATAAATTAAATCATATAATGAAATCGAATATAAAATATTCAAGGATACTGACACTGCGATAGGTGTAATTAAACATGAATCTTGAAATGATACTGAATCTGCATTTTGAGATAAGATATCAGATAAAATCTTGACTGGTATCAAAAGAATTCTTAACAAGTCAGCTTTCAACACTTTCTGCCTGCCTTCCACTGTTGGACAAGCTCCAGAAGTTGTCAATGAACATATGCGACTTCAAGATCTCTTTCACCCACTCGGGCTCGAGAGTGTGGTAATATGGCGGATGGCCAACATGTGGCCTGGAAACTTTAGGCACAAGAAAAACAGCGTCTCAGGCGTCACCTATGCAGCACATGTAGTGTCACTCGGGAGTACAGCTCCCGTGGCCTGCGAGGAGGGACAGCCTCCGGAAGCAGCTCTTTGGGAGGACAGCTCCCGATCAACGGCAAAGAGTTCAGCTCTTTGTTTCCGAGGGCGCAAATGGCAGAAAAGTTCGATCGCGCGTGATACGTTTCGTTCGCGTCGATTTCGGTGTGCTCCGTTACACGGCTACAATTCCTGCTTGCTCGAACTTCGGGTCGCTACTGCCAGTCCCCCACGCATTCTCCCTTCTCTCTCTCTCTCTCCTCCCTCTCTCTTTTTAGTCCTACCTAGCCCCTCCTACCTATTCGCTTTGGTGCCTGCTCTTCCTTCTCTAACCCGAACACAAACCCTTTTTTTCCCAAGTGTCAAAATAAATATATTTTTAATACTAATTCTATAAAGTAATTTGGTAAACTGATGCTTATCGTTAGCAAGGCCATTTCATAATTTCATGATAATAAAATAATTTCTTAGGATATGAGTGTAATTCTAAAATTTTAAGACTCCCAAGAAATTATTAACATCCAACGTAACTGACTGGCACAGTTATGCCAAAAAAGTAATTGATTATGTGGTATGATTAAAGGAAACGATTCCAACCATTGTTGTCGTAGTAGTAAAAAAGTTCTTATTGAATAATGATTGTGGCTTTATCCACCCACCTAATAGTTTTTTGAAGACATCAACTTCGAACACATTTACCACACTTTGTTACAAGAAAATCGACAGTTTCACATTTTTTTTACTCCCAGGATATAAAAAAGTCCTCATATACTTTTTCTACTTAAAATTAGGATTGTTCATGCAA